GATTTCTGTTTTTCGTAAGAATATTGCCCCAAACCGATCAATTTCTTTCTGAAGAAGAAGTCGAACTAGGAAATGTTAGTAAAATATTTGCCACTTCTCTTAATGGGCAACGGGGCAAAACGCATTCGGCCAACTTGATGCCGAAACCTGATTATGAAAGTTACCATTTTCCATTTTATTTTGGCTATTAAATATGCCGCTTTTACTTTTGAAATTTATTATATCACTTAAAATATTTTGATTATCACCACCTTGTAAAATGCCTAATTCTTGTATTATATCACATGCTCCACCTTCAGTAATAAAGATGCACCCTTGATATCGGCGGTCCAATAAATAAGGTGAGCAAATGTATTTAGATCATTTTCTCTATTTTCAAACATAACTTTAATTTTTTTTATCTTCAGATGGAGAAAATATAGAATCATAGCATGACTGTATATTGTATCCTTCCAAATTAACCATCTCGTTTTTTATGTGGGCCAAAGTACATTTATCCCCTGTAGCTAAAGTTTGGGTATAACTAGACCTGTGCTTCGGCCGACCTTGGTTACGCCGAAAACGCCGCCGTTTATGAAAATCACGCCGGGGCAGAAATTTCTTTCACATTTTATACCTTTTTATTCCAATAAGTCAACATCACTGTTGTAATTTTTTTAATGTCAATCAGGATTTAGATGAATTTTTATTTTATACATTTTAAAATCATAATTATACTGACGTCATTATAAAATTCAATCAATCAAAAATCTAAAATTCCAAAAGTTACCATATTTTACATATTTTTAAAATGGATGCATCTACATTTAATAAATCTATAAATAATTTTAATATCATAACTGTAAATAATAAAAAATCATTCGTTTGGAAATTTTTTGGTTATTTACACTTAAATGAGATAATAAAACAATTTCCATAATTTCTAACAAATTTTACTGCAATTGTTGCTTAGAAAAGGCTACAGTAGACGATGATGATTCAAATAAGCCATTTTCACAATATATTTTTTTTAAATATTATTTTCTCATATATAGCCAAAATCTTTAATAAATTAAAATATAATTTTTGTAAAATATAATCTAGCTATAAAATTCAAAACTTTTCAAACAACATTAGCACAGGAAATTTGTTAAAACACATGACTTCTGAACATAATATTAAAGAAGATACTTCATCAAAATCGCAAGATTTAAAAAAATATTTTATAACCAAACCAAAATTCCAGACATTCTAAAACCTCTAAAAAATGGCTTAGCAAGAAATTATTTGTTATTATGTTGTGCTGACTTATTAACTTTTCAATCAATTGATAATATAGGAATGAAAGATTTTTTGAAGGTATCAAATTAATAAAAAAAATTGATATATTATCTATAATACCTTTATGTCTTTTTTTGTTCTATTGAAATAGCATATAGATATGTATGATTTAAATAATATTGGATAATAAATAGCATATTCATTTGTTTTAATCATCTCTGTTTTTGTGTAGCTTTGCAACCCAGAAAATTTTTAACAAATTTATTTCTTCTTGATAAATTCTCCCTAATTTGTGTCTAATAAAAATTAAAGATATAATGATTTTCTGTTATAAATTTCAAAATACTTATTTTAGAAATATCAAGTTATTAATTCTAATTCTGATTTGCCAGACAGAACATCACTAAGCCGGCTCTTAATGATGTTTACCTATCAATGAAAGTATATGTACAAGAACAAATTAACTCAGGGCCAAAATTTTGCTCAATTACATTTGATATGTGGACAGATCAATACAGAAGAAGGGACTATATTACATTTACATTTCATTTAATAAATGATAATTTTGAAATGATTTACTTTACTTTAGCAACTCATTATATAACCCTAAAACACACAGGTGAGACTATTCTAACTGAGATTGATAAAATAGAAGAAGAATTTAATTTAAAGGAGAAAAAAATACAAATGGTCAGAGATGCTGGGCCTAATGTTAGAAAAGGTGTTTGATTAGGTGAATATGAACACATTTATGTTTGGGTCATGGTTTACACAATCTGGTTACAGTAGATGGTATTAAAAAGGTACCCTTTGTTGAAAATCTCATCAAAAGAATTGAGGAATTATTACTGCTTCTAAGATATAAAATTGCAGAGGTTGAATTTGAATTCGAGGCAGATCAAAGAAAATGCCTAAGTACAATAGAATTAACATCCGACATGTTAGATCTTGACAGCACTGATCCATACCCGGATACCCGTTTTCAAATTGGCAATTCCAATAATAATAATGACAATAATTCCAAAATCTCATCAAAAGAATTAGAGAAATTATTATTGCTCTAAGATATAAAACAACAAAGGTTGAATTTGAATTCGAGGCAGATCATAGAAAATGCCTAAGTACAATAGATTTAACATCAGACATGTTAGATCTTGATAGCACTAATCCATACCCAATACCCGTTTTCAAATTAGCAATTCCAATAATAATAATGACAATAATTCCACGCATATGAAAACCTTAAAATTAAATGTCCCAACACGTTGGCATAGTATATTAATTATGCTAGAAAACATATCTAGATTAAATAAGAATTTAATTAATAATGTTTTAAAAAGAATTGGGAAGCACTTTCTCAAATTATCAAACTATGAATCTGATCTGGTAGAAGAACTTTTAGCATTTCTTTCAAAATTTAAAGAAACAGTCGAATTTCTTTCAGTACAAAAAGGGCCTACTTTAAACTTGGCGTTACTTTTTAGAAGTGAAATTGAAACACATTTAATAGTAAATGATAGTGATATTTCTGAAATCATTTCACTAAAGGAAAATATGCTAAAAATACTTGCGTTACAATTTCCGGTTTGTGATATTTTTTTTTATTTAAAATTATCTAGGTATTGGCTCTTTTAGATCCAAGATTTCAAAAATTAACAATTGTGTCAAAGTATAAAATGAAACAAAATTTCTCAGCTTCAGAATTTATAATAAAACATCTTAAACTAATAGAGAATGATGATATTCAGGTAGTAAATATAGCTAATGAGGATCAAGAAGATAAATTAAAGTTATTTGACAAAATTGGCAAATAAACATTCAACAAATATAAATTATGATTCCACGTTAGGTAACTTAGAACAAGAATGCCACCATCTTCTTGGAAAACGACATTCACAAGATATAGACGTTCTAAATTTTTGGAGAGAAAAGAAGAGGGAACTTCCCAATCTTTCCAGGCTCGCCAAAAAAATTCTTTGTATTCCAGCGACTAGCACACCTAGTGAGAGTTTTCTCTACCTCTGGATTGACGTTAAATTTAAGGAGATCATCATTATATCTCGAAAATTTAAATAAAATAATTTTTATACATGATAATTATAAAATTACGAAATCGATTTTATTTATAATGAGTTTTCTATTAAATAAATATTTAAAAATATGCCGAGATATCTGTAGAGTAGTGTATATTTGTTTTTTTAAGCAATTAAAAAATTTATGTTATAAAAATTTATAACTGCGCCTATTTTGTTGACGGCGGCTAAAAATCGGCGCGCGCCGACCATCGATTAGATATTCAGTTAAAAAATTTTAATTTTTCGTCCAAAATATTTCTTCATTTAATATATGGTAATTTCTATGGGATAAATATCACATACAGCTTCTTAAACAACTGATGCCTTTAGAGCTTTCTTACATATTTGTATTTGCTCACACATTTTATTGACGATGCCCATCTTGTTTGGCTAATTGTACTTAATGTAGATGGTATACTATGTTGATTCTTATTACGGGAAAATACTGCAGCTGATATGTTGTGTATATTCTTGAAAACTTTAACAATTTTTCTGGTAAATTGCTCGCATATACAGCCTTTGGAAATAATTGATAGAGCCCATTTTTTTCCATGGGATTCATTCTATCAATGAACCCGATTATACAAGATTGAGATTTACAATTAATCTCATTGCTTGTTTATTAATCAGATAATGGAATCAAATTCTCCTGAGTCATAAGGCATAATATTGTCAATTTGATAATTATTCTCACTAATTTCACCCAATTCTTCATCAGAGCTAGAAGTATTACAAATTATATTTGTGTGATTTTTTGTCGACGTTGATATTTTGGAATTTGAATAAAAAAATTTCCTTAATTATGACAGGGCACATAGTACAGCTGCTTAATAAATGCTTGACCATTCTATCAACGTGGGTAATATAGGACATCTTGCAAAACATGCATACCGTTTTAACTGATTTACCATCGCGTACTTGATGAAAATGTTTCCAACCCATAATCCCTTATATTAAAATTTAACTATAAAATATTTTGATTATTGTAAATTTAATCAATTAGGGGGTAACTATTAGCGTGCTGCCTCCAATTTTTTTGAAGACAATGACACATTACTAATTGCTTTGTTCTTGAATTGTTTTTTAAATCTAATATATAATTTGTAAATCATATATTTATGTTTGGATGTCCTGATATTTCCATAAATTTTATCATTTCGATCAATAAAAAAATTTATAATTATATATAAAAATGCAAAATTGTTTTTTTTTAAATAATTAGGGATAGTTCTTGAATTGTATCTTTAAAACTAATATATAAATCATATACAAAGAGATTTATACTTGGATATTTTGGTTTAATTTTCATTAAATTTTATAATGCATAATTTGCAAATTATTATTTTTTAATAATTAAGAGGGGGAGGGGGTGGGCTATGTAAATTTTTCTTCCAAAAATGAAAGGGATACCATTATGATTCTTATGATTCCTACAACCCAACCCTTATACTATTTTAATTAAGTTCGGCATCATGCCCCTACCGTGATAGTGGGCATTGGTGTTGACAAAAAAAACGCCAAATGAATCGAAAGCGCCAAATACTTTTATAAATAATGTTTTTAGAAGATTCAAAGAATTTTTCCCTGGGTTTTAGCCATTCTCGCGAAATTATCTTAGCTATGATCTCTAGCAAAATTAAATTAATATATAGAAATTTAAAAAACCTTAAATGCATCTCTTCAAAATTGATAGGAGCACCTATGTTCCTAAAAACTTCTTTTACCGATTCCATCAAATCTGGTCCAACGCCGTCACCTGGAATCATTGTGACTTTTCTTTTTGTTTCCAGATCAGATTTCTAATATAAAAATAATTTATAGTTTAAAAATGGTTCATTTAATATAATAAATTAAATTTCTTGGCTTATTTATTGACATTTCTTCCATTCATTCTTTCTTTCTTTACTCAATGAATGTAATCAAAATAAAATAATCATTTATTAACGTTAGCAATTTAAATATCGAATAAATAATTTAAATAATATTTTTATTAAGAATTTTCTAAATTTCATATAATTATATAAATACATTTAGAAAATGTTCCAATTATATTTTGCAGTAATTATAAATAATATGTATATGGTGAATTCCATATTAAATCAACTAAGGTTTCAACCCCACCCTATTAGAATTTTTTTTAATTTTGTAGTATATACTATGACTAAGAAAAAATTGAAATTTTACTTCCTTACATCATTTAATCGTTAAAATATGGGGATTTAAAGAGATGAAAAATGTTACATTTTTGATATAATCATTTATCTCAAGAAAAAATTAAATCCGAGCAATAATTTTTATTTCATTATACAGATGCCGTTTTTAAAAATCGATCCAAATCGGGCCGTTTAACAACACTACTCACAAATATAAAATTTATCCCTCTGATATTATTTCTAGGATAGTTATATAAATCCATAGTTGTCAATATATGATCATATTGTTCGAGCTGCTAACCGTTTAGTAACGCTTCCGAAATTATGACATTATCTTTTACCAGGTGCTGTTGTAAATAAATGCCATTCTGTTTATCCCAAAATCATCTTTAAGATTGTAGGGGTTAATGAAGTTTATTATTTTATATTGTGTAGCTGCCTCATCAAAATAATGAATTTTGGCTCTTCTGCCAAATCTTTCTTTAAAGAATATGATAATTTTATATGAAATAAATAAAATGAAAATGCGTTGTACTTTAATCCATCTGATATAACAACAAAATTTACTTATTTAATTAGTCGTCACGGTAATCACTGGGTCTATTTATCGTTCGGCTAACCACATAATAAATCATTTATTACTAAATATCGCTCTGCTGCGAAATGTCGATGGTCTAACCACATAATAAATCATTTACTATTTAAATAACACGAGCTAAATACATAATAAATTATTATTAAATATCTCTAAGCTATAAGTATTCCTTTATTTATGTATTAAATTTGCAATCATATTCTAGTGGGCTTTCACTTTCATAATAATTGAGAATTAATTAGTTTTTATAAATAAAATAAATGTTTAGTCAGGTATAAAAATTATCTATTAGATATTTTAGCTTCAATACTTTTATAAAATTAAATATACTCATAACTTTTTTTATTTATAAAAGTAATAAAATTATATATTTTTGAATGAACAAACTATGTAACGTTATTTTAAGAGAAAGTAAAAACAAAAATAGTAATGACAGATGCTAAAATAATTTATGACATATAATAACCAATTTTTCGAATTCTTCACAATGGAGGATGCTATATTAAGATTTAGTTAAAATAACAGATACATTTTTTTTTAAATCGTTCGAATTTCTAGTGATCATCATTTAAAAAAATATATGGAACTATATATTATTATTCTAGGGCCATAATTTTATAAAATCGGACATTATTTACTCTATATATTATAAATATAATCCTTTATCTGCTATTTATTTACAGGTAAGACATAATTTTAGAATTTTAAAAAATATCTGAAACTTTTTTTTTAATTTTAAGAGCGGGGATAAATAGATATTCTGATTAAAACGCTGAAAATTTATATACAGATTATTATTATTCCATTATCTTATAAAAAATAATGACATAAAAATCGATGTAATATAGGTATCGGGGATGTTTGGGGTAAATGTCGGATTGGATTGGTAAAATAATTGCGGATAGGTGTAGCCCTACTTATAAGATAAATTCCAGTGGATTAAATTATTTTTCAGGAATAATCAAATAGTTTTTGGATATTTTGAATAAAAATCGCAGTTTTTTTAGAAAATTAGACTGGTAGGGTAGTTTGTGAATTGTTTTAAAAAATATTAATATAAATATTAATTTTACCCAATGTTGTGTGCCGACTCTGAATATTCGCACAAGGGTTCAGATAACTCACTTTTTCACAAACCAAAATTTGAAATCAAAGATTTTTATTATTTAGCCATTTTATTTTGATATCAATAAATTTTATTTAGTCAATTTTTATAAAACCTTGATGTTACGTTTTATAAAAATCTTTATTGATTTAAAGTTATCGTCAATTTTTTTATTTACTCAAAATTCATCATTTGAGAAAAATTAATTTTTTCTTTTCTGCAAATTAAAAAGGAATCCAGCTATGGTCTTAAGAGAAAAAAATTAATTAAGAGATCTACAACCAATAACGTTAAAAGAAAATATCAAAAGATTCTACAAGTGAAAAAATTATATAAATGGCGCAATCTTCAATCTTAGAAAATTATATTCCGCAGGAAATTGAATCTAATGGTAATTGCTTTTACCGGACGGTTTCAATGTCATTATATAAAACACAAATACATCATATTTTTAAAGACTGATAACGGCAAGAGAAATAATTTTGAACCCTCAACATTACGATAAAAATCATTCGAATTTTTTCAAACTATAAAATTAATACAAATATATGGGTGAGTATCATGAGATACTAGATTCGGCTCTAAATATAAATGTTTGGGCCGAGCAAATTCATATATGCCATTAAGTGCAGCTCTTGGCAATTCACGTATTTTGCACGTCAAATTCATTAAAGTATCTAAATATCCAATATTTCTAAAATATTGAATATATTTCGTCAATATATATAATTTTATTACCCTAAATTTATATATAAATCTTCTCTGTCGAATAAATTATATTTTATGAACGCGATAATTATATTATAACAACATTATTATATCAATTTGGTTAAAATAATTATGATTTATAATAATGCATCAATAAAACGAATTACTATCGTTATTAATTTATCTGATTAATAAAAATTGCAAAATTTAAAAAAGACTACTAATTTTTTACCCAAATATAGATATTTAGTCATCATGATAGAATATGGCAAAATTTATTAAGCATTCAAAAATATTATTTTTTTATTTTTGATTTTAAAAAATAAAAATAAGTTATGAGTAATTTTATAAAAGTATTGAAGTTAAAATATCTTTACCTGTTTAAATATTTATTTTATTTATAAAAACTAATAATTCTCAATTAATATGGAAAGTGAAAGCCCACTAGAATATGATTGGAAATGTAATATATAAATAAAGGAGTACTTAAACCGAGCGATATTTAGTAATAAATGATTTATTATGTGGTTAGCCGATCGACATTTTCCAGCCGAGCGATATTTAATAATAAGTGAATTATTATGTGGTTATTCTAGTGATAATTCCTGGCCGATTGATAAACAGACCCACCCAATTAATCATGATGAATAGTGGCCTGATTATTAGTACATAGGAATCTTTCTCCTATACTACAAATACATATTTTTCTGAAAGGTTAGAAATATCTAAGAATTCGCCAACAATGATCAACACAGTTTTCGCAGTGTTAAATACATGTTCAACTGGCGCAGAGGATGGGAAGGTTGTATTATATTTAATACATAAATATTTTAATTGGGAAATTATCAAAAATATATGAAGAATGGTCTTTATTTCAAAAAAACTTATTAGATCATATTCACAAGAATCTTCATTCATCAGATCTTCACCAATTTTTTTTTAATCTTTATCAGAATTAGTCTGGTATGTGTATTGTTATTTAAAGAAATCATGTTTAATTTTTCTTTATATTTGCCAGGATCTTTTTTCAAACTGGAAATAAGGTCAAGCTTCATTCCTTCGCTGACCTCGAACTATGGCTAATCCAATTAAATAATGGGTGAATAATTGATCTAGTATATATCCAGCTATAGATATATTCTAATCTATTCCAAATATAAATTGTAGATATTTCAACCGTATACCTTTTATCTATGCCATGTAGAATTTTAATTATGTGCGGCTTACAAAATTTGATATTATTTAATGCCAATTTTTTAAGTTTTAATAATACAATAGTTAGAGGTATCCCAAATGCATTATTTCTTAGCCCTCTAAAATCGAAAGTGTGGTAAACAAGTTCAATAACCTATATGATCATATATTTATATAATATATTATTGCAAGTGTGCAGAGAGTTTTTTTTATTATTTAAATATTTTTTAAAATTGTTTTTTTAAATTACTTTATTTAAATAATTTTACTTTTAATTCCTTCCACTCTAGAACCACAGGGTCTTTTTAGATCTTCCTTCCACTCTAGAACCACAGGGTCTTTTTAGATCTGACGGTAAACGTCCTGACGGGATTTCTCAAATCTCATGGAGGAGAGGCCAACTTTTGGTATGGGACTATTCCTGTATTGACCCCTTGGCCCCATCCAACCACGCCATCAACATCCTTGACCAGAAGGAACAACTTAAAACTTCTAAATACACAGAAATATTGAACGATCATTGCTTCATATCATATCAATCACTCTTGGCACCTTCGGCAAACTCGCCTTAGCATTTTTCAAAAACTTAGGATCACAAATCAGCAAACTCTCAGAAGAACCTCGAGAGGGTTTTTTTTCTTCGTCAACGATTATCCATAGCGATTCTCAAAGCTAATTATATCAGTTTCAATGGTAGTCTTCTAGCCAAAGAGCTATCCTAGACAACACTTACGTCCCTTTATCATTTTTGTTTCCCTGCGTCACACCATCTCCGTTCTTTTTTTTATAGTATTATTATATATTTTTCAAACATTTTTAAATATATTAAAACATAAAATATTATATTTTCGTTTTTTTTAATACTTTATATTATTTGAAAATTGAAAATAAAGGATTTGTTAATAATAAATAAAAAAAAAAAATTAAAGATAGTTTTTTTAGTAAATTAAAATTTGAATAAGTATTGCCTACAAAAATATTAGTTATATTTTTCTAAATAGATAATTTTTATTTATAATAGACATGAAAATAATTAAATTTATT